TGGAAGAACAAACAGTCTCGTGGTGTCTATAAAGATTCTAGGACTCCAAAGGCAATCTCAGGCTAAAATTAGACACAAAGGCAGTGAGTGTATGGTATTTCTGTGAAGGAGGAAACTAATTCCATTTCCATTAATCTACATTCCCTCCAAAAAGGTTTAATTCCCTGGAACATTGCTATCAAATCCTTTCCTGTTGAATAAAATTCAGAATAAAGTAGTCATTTCTCACCTCTGTTCAAGTTAGATTAGTATTTAGGAATTGAAAAAAAAAATAATTCTAGGGTTCTCTTATCAATGATGCAAAAGATGGGATTCCAGTGAGCTTTTAAAAATTACACAATGGTTGAATCAGTTAGACAGGATTCAGCTTTTTCAAAATGTCCTTGTCATTTGTCAATTTAACTGATATCCAGCTTTTTTTTTTTTGATCTTCAAATTGCCTTTCTCATTGAGTTTATGGAAAAAGTAATTGATATGGGAAGGATTTAGCATTATGTCTGATTATTAATGCTTATTGAATGTTCTACTCCTTCCAACATTCCTCCTACTTTCTTTCCCAGTTCTCAGCATAAACTGCTGAACCAAGAAATTGTCCTATTTGTAATATTTTCTGAAAAATGCTGACTAGTTCCCTAGATTTAGTTGGCCACCCTTCATTAGCAACTCCATATTAATTCTCTTGATAAAGAATGCACATTTTAAAATTTCAGTGACTTTAAGTATACAGCTCACTAATTTCTAGAAGAAAAACAGAGTACTTGGATTAAAATTGTAGTTCCTGATAGCAACAGAGCTCCTAAACCCCAGTGCAAACAGCACATCACCTCATTAATGCAAATATAAAGGTATAGTCTGTCATAGAAGAAGAAACATACCTTTTCCAAGGATTCTTAATATTCTGACATATGTTTACCATTCCTTTACAAGGAAAATGGCAATTAGTCTTATTTTGGAAATTACCATTCTTCCTTACTGTTGCCCTGCTTCAGTTTTACTATATGCCTCAGTAAATTCTAGTGACCCTGAGCAAGGTCTCTTTAGTTGTCCAGTTTATGCCACCAACTCATTGGGGACACTTGAGTCTATCTATTGACCTTAGAAAATTAAATTTTCTCACCTTTGGAGTACATTTACTATAATTATTGTTTATTAAATTGTGAGTCTACATCACTGCTACCTTATTACTTACTACTAGTAGCATCTGCTGTGTGTTGAGAACCCATTTAATCCTCTTGAGAGATCTGCATTTCCTCCATGAAGAGTACCCTGCAGACAATAAGTATGGAAAAAATGAAGAAAGCGTGGAAAGGAGAGGAGGTGTCTTGAGATTTCATAAATTGCCATACACCTTTGCAAAAGTCCTCAAATAAGCATGAGACCCTTGCCTCATCTGTTTCAGTATTTCAGGAAAGCATTACTTTTACATCGAAATAAATATGTAATAACATAATAAATTTTAAAATCATATGAACTTTAAAATAGAAGGTGTCAGATTTTATACGTTCTGCAGAGCACAGTGATTCCAGATTTCTGAAGTAAATTTTCATTCTTTTATCCTATTTGGGATATCTTTGGGAAGAAGAAAATAGAGAATACAGATAAATTGAGCAAAAAAAATTAATGTATGACCATATAAATTACAATAGCTAGGTGAAATTTATAGTAGAGATCAGGTTCTTTTTTGAAGTTATGCTGTAAGTCTGTTCTTATGAGAACAATTACTTAGACTAACCAATAAGGGAACATTCATCATTTGTAAGAGGGATTGATTGAGTCCAGACTCTCTTGTGCCTCTGTCATAAATGGTAAACCCCACTTGAGAAAGACAGCCAAATAAGCTCATGAGGACAGTTTTGATCTGTTTTAATTAGTATTGATTTTTATGTGTCAGTTTTATGCAGGCAGGGAGTCACAATTATGCCCTGAGTGCAGTAAGTCACACCCTTCACAGATTTTGACAGACAGAAGCAGTAATTTTAGTGGTAGGAGTTAATTTGCCCTGGCATTAATGCATAAAAAGGTTGGTGATTGTGTCTAATTGTTTCCTTTCTAACTAGCTCAACTAAAAATAAGGTTCAAGAACCAAGCTATGGGAAGTTATCTATTATGAGGGTTTCTCCAGAAAGGGATTGCTTAAAGTCACTCTTCTTTGTAATCAATCAATGAACATATATATTCTATCATTTTTTTCCTCCTCCTTCTTTCTCACCCTTCTAAGCCTCCTTCACTAAATATTAACATAATAAAAGTGTGGAAATTAATAATCTCCTTTAATTCTGCCAATAAAGAAATACTGCAGAATACTCATTTTTAAAAAGGCAGCATTAACCATCTCATTGATGATTTTATGTAAATATAAACTAACTCATATAAACATTCACACAAGCACAGAACTTTTACTTGCCCTTTAACTTCTGCTGGATCTCTAACTTTCCTAGCCTTATATTTAAAATGTAAATTAAAAAACCTACAAGATTCACTAGACTTATGAAAAACCAGTTAAGCAAAACAATAAATACATAAATAAAAACTCTGCAGATGTCGAACTTCTTGGGAGAAATCACCAATTGGTTCTGCTGATTTAGTAAGGATCCAGCTTTGTTATATTGAGATGGTATTTCAAAGTGTTTATTCTGTTCCCATTCGTACACTTACTTGTAATTTCTTGAAGGTGTAATTTACTAGAATCTTGAGAGGTGAGATTGACAGAAAGATGTTTTATGACTTTGTTTTTATCTTTATCATGACACTTTTCAAATAAAATGAATACACCATTTTTATTACACATAACTAAAAATGCAGAGACAAATTCCTTTGAATGTGACCATCTTTAAGCTGCCGTCTTTGGCATAATGGCTTTTACCCTTAGTCTTATCCTAGTGTGATCACGAGGTAGGTATAAACCTTAATATCACATTCTCAAAAACTGACTCTTAAGGTAGACTAGAACTGTGTGCGTATGTGTGTGCCTTTTAAATAAGAATCTTTCTCTTAAGTTCCCCAGAAGTGCTGGCCCATTCCTAAGTGAATCAGAGTTTATAAAGAAACTACCAGGAATGTCAGCATAAGCCAAACTCAGGTACCTGGAGCTGGGCAAGACAAGATTTCCTCAGAAGACCTTGTTTCCTAAACACCTAACAACACAAAAAGGGGGATATATGGATAAATGGCTCCATTACAAAACCTTCCTTCATTTCTTAGTTTCTGGTAATGTAGGTAACCATGTTGACTATTGGATATGTCTACCATTTAGTATTGTACACACACATATGTACCAACAAGTTCATTCAGGTTAAACTACTAAAGCTTCAGGTTTACTTAATTAAATAAAATATATGGGGGGCTGGGACTGTAACTCAGTGGTAGAGTGCCTGCCTCATACATGTGAGGCACTGGGTTCGATCCTCAGCACCATATAAAAAATAAATAAATAAATAAATAGATGGTATTTAAAAAATAGATGGACATTAGAAAATTCATATGGTTCATCAGAATATTTTTTTTAAGACAGAATACAGGGATCTATTTGGAGTTGTATTTCTCTTAGTAACTAGTAACTTGTTTTTTGAATACCAATGCATAATGAAGGTAAACACTATTAATATGTACTTTTAACCAAACAAGCATGTTTCATTAATTAAATATCCTTAATATCTGAGTACAGTGGCACATACCTGTAATCTCTGCAGCTCAGGAGGCTGAGGGAAGAAGATCTCAAGTTCAAAGCGGGCCTTTGCAACTTAGTGAGGCCCTAAGCAAATTAGTGAGACCATGTCTCAAAAGAAAAAAAAAAAAAAAAAGGCTGGGTTGTAGCTTAGCAATTAAGTACCCCTGAGTTCATCCCAAGTATATAGGTATAAACATGTATGTATGTACATGTATACACACACACTTCTATCTATTCATGCTGACAGTTTAGAAACCCTGATATTTAAGATCCAGACTCGGTCTTAGATCCAAACCAAGTCTTCTAAAGACAAGGAAACGGTCTCAGTGACATTCGGCAACCTTTCTAAGATAGAGCTGATGACAGTTCAGCCACTGCCAGGGGCTCTTCTCACCGTACATCCTGATGATGCTGTCAGTATGCTGCCCTCTGGGGTCCCTCCTGCCTTTTACCATCATGACTGTGAGGCTTTTGTTTCATGTCCTGATTATATTTGGTTATCCTTTTCAAGTATAAACTTGCTGGTTAGTTCTGAGAATCCCCCACCTTCCTTCACCAAGTTATATTCAGTATGGCACCCAAATAAAGGACTTATTAAATTTCCATTAAAAAAAATTATTCAAGGCTGCTGGAAAGTTCTAGAAATCTACCACTTACCACCAAAGAAATTATGTGATATCTTTTTACTCCAGGGGCTAAGAGGCAGAAATATTCTATTGCAGCTAGAAATCTGCAGCTTCCATACTTTCATGTACAAGAAGGTGGTGGTGGTGGTGGTGGCGGTGGTGTGGTGGTGGTGTGTGTGTGTGAGAGAGAGAGAAAGTGAGAGAGAGAGAGATTCTTTCAGCTCCCTATAAATTAGATGGTAAATGGTTCAGCATTGTATAAACACAGACAGCTATCATTTAAACCAGATTTTTTTAAAAAAATTAGAATATATACACTATTCCTACTTTCATCAACTTATGAAGGTCAGAAGCAGATAAGTTGGAATAGGTGTGCAGATTGATGAGGTGATATCAGTAGTGTAAAATTTTCCCCAGTGCATCACCAATATGGAATGAAAATCAAATGGCCCCCCATGAAGTCTTCTCAAAACCAGCAACTTCACTGAATTACACAAGATTTAATTAATTATTTGGTTTTCAAATGAACAGGATCTAAAACACAATCTTTGGAAAGGTCACATTTACTCAAGTTGAAACTGCAATCCAAATGAAGCTCTATTTTATTGTTGTTGTTGTTGTTTAAATCTAGGCCATTTTAAATCAGAAGTTACCTTCAAATGTGGTATTTGATTTAAAAAGTCATTTTGTATTTAAATGTTTTCCAGCATCCATGGTGCCCAGCCATTTACCACACCTTTCTTCAGGTAAGGTTCACCCACATCTTGCTTCTTTTAGAATTTGCATGTTTGGAGAATATTTTGCCTTCCATAAACTCCCTTGATAAATTCATGCCTCTCTAGTGGGTTGACATTCTTTAGTGTTTCCTTAAAAATACTTGTACTTTTGACAAGAAAAGAAAAAGAAATTCATTGAGTATCTTTTAAATGGAAGCCTTATTATAAGGCCTTTGGGCCACTATCAATGAGGTATTTTGTTTTGTTTTTGAATAATGCAATGTTTAGGTTGTTTTAGACCTGAATTTTGCATTTTGAGACAAAGTCTCACTAAGTTGCCCAGGCAGAACTTAAACTCGCAACACTCCTGCCTCAGCCTCCAGAGGAGCTGGGATTACAGGTATGCGCCATGACACCATGCCTTAGTAACTGACTTTTATTGAATGACCCCCCATCTTATAGTCAATACCATGATTTTAAAAAATTGCAAAATCTGTTTATTTATATGAAAGAAGGAACAAGGCTCTGTTGTAGAGGCTGATACTAAAAATTATTAAATGGCTGAGAATTATTAGCATCAAAAAAGTTCTCATGTCCTTCTTCCCTAAGCACTCCCCTGAATTTAGATGTTACTAACTCGATTCAGCATAGAATTTGAGGTCAGAGGCTTTTGAGCTACAATCTGTGTTTAAATTCCCACTCTGCTACTTAAATTTAATAATACCTCAGAAAAATTTGTTAACATTTAAAACTCACTTTTCCCTCATTTAAAATAGGAATAATATTATCTGTGTTGTAGAGTAGTTGGGAGGATAAAATAATATGCCTAAATAGTACAGTAAAAGTTTTGTAAGTGGAAAGTTTTTAGTGGTCTCAGGTAATTGTATTTTTCGTTGAATAATTTTTAAATTCTGGTCTTTTATAACATTGTTAGAATAATGTGTCTATCCTAAAATGTTTCACTGCTATAGACAGTAGGATCAAAATTTCAAATAGTTGATTTTTTATCACCCTTAATTTTAGATATGACTGTGATACTATTCATTCAACAAAATATTTATCAAACATGCACCATGATAAAGATTGCCTTTTCACACCTGAAGGTCTAAACATGAGCAGAAAAATAGATACGGCTTCTGTCATTTTGAGAAACTTGTGAGGGATAAATATACTAACTAGGTAATTCCTCAAAGTAGTCTCAAATTGCAGTCATATAAGGTACCTTAGAGGAAGATGGAGCTCTAGAGGTCTCTGCTCAATAGATTTGACCTACTCAAGGCCTCTCAGAGAATCTTTCCAAAAAATAATAATATTTGCTATGGAATCTGATAAATGAATGCGGTGAACCAGGTGTCCAAACAGTCAAACCAAAAATATGTTCCATGGAGAGAGGAAACAGCATGTTCAAGGTCCTGTGGTAGAATGGGGATGGAAAATGCAAATGAGAGACCATTTTAATTGGAATAGAGGGCAATGAAGGGAGAGTGGTTTGAGATGTGATCAAAGTAGTGTTTTGCTTTAAACCTAAGCTCAAGCTTCCAGGCCATAATAAGCAAGTTTTGCTTTTATTCTAAAATAACAAAGGAACATTTTTTTGAGGTTTTTGGGAGAACAAATATGACCATATTTGCTTTTCCAGGTGAAACGGGTTTGAAGTGAATGTCTGAGGGCCCATTAGAAAAAATATTGCGGTAGTTTCTATTATAATTTCTTGGATGTGGATGGAGGTAGTGAAGATGGAAAGCTGATCATACATCAGAGGTATAGACTACAGAATGAAGCAGAGAGAGTTCAACCAAAGGAGTTCAGGTATCTTGAGGTCATTTAGGAGAAGATGATGGATAGGCACTTGGATCTGTAGATCTGAACCTGAGAAAAGAGATCTATGCTCTACTACTACTTTTCCTAGTAGAGGATAGGAAAGGTAGCAGAATACAACAGTTACTAATAGGGCATTATGTAAAAATGTGGATGTGTAACCCATGTGATTCTCCAATCTGTATATGGGGTAAAAATGGGAGTTCATAACCCACTTGAATCTAATGTATGAAATATGATATGTCAAGAGCTTTGTAAGGTTTTGAACAACCAATAAAAAATAAATTAAATTAAATTTAATTTAATTTAAAAAAGAGAGACCTATGCAGTGTGAGGCATTTGTGAGTCACTGGGTTGGACCCTGATTGAGGGATACGGTCATAGCACAGAGAAAAGGAAGCACTGGGTTATAACAGTATTGGGATTGTTTTAGATAATGCAAGGAAAAGACAGAGGCAGGAGGTTTGCTGAAAAGAGGAACTGTATATCTTTTGGATATAGAATATTCCAAGCTCATTTTTTGGTCATTTATTGAGATATATTTTGACATTTCCAAAATTTCCAGTGGATTAAGGAATGTTCTGGGTATAAGTAGGAAATACTGTAAGATGTTAATAAGATTGAATTTTTTTGTCTCTTCCTAATTCTGTAAAAAAGAAATTTTGTCTGTGTCTCTTTCTCTTCCTCTCTTTTGCTTCCCCGCCTCACTCCCCTGGCATCTGCAAACTTTAAAAAATATTTTTCACTAAACTAGATAAATGAGACACCTTTAAAGTCTCTGGAACTGTAAATTATGTGCCCTTCATTCCTATTTCCATCTTATTATTCTTACTTTTCTCTTTTTGTGTATTCTTGATTTGCTTCATTACATGTTAAATGTATTTTTTCTTTCTTATTTGTGCTCATTTTTTGTAAGCCATCATGTCACTTATAAAAATATTTTGAAACAAAGCAAAGTATAAGTCAATTAAAATACACAATTTTAAATATTAGGTTGATGAGATTTCCTCCTAAATATTTTACAGAGATATACAGAGAAACAATTATGTTTTGACATCTTTCTTCTTGGGAGTTTTTATTTAAGATTAGCAAGAAAGGAAAGACCTATTAATTCTGAAAAGTTTAAAATTCTGCCCAGTAAGCTTTTGAAAGTTGATACCAAACTTAGCGAGACCCTGACTCTCAAAATAAAAAGGGCTGGGAGGTAATTTAGTGGTTAAGCACTTCTGGGTTCAATCCCCATCGCCCCCAAAAAGAAAAGTTGTTATGAATAGTCTAACATCATTTCACTCCAGTAGTCAAGTGGAGAAGAGTACAGGACATTTCCACACATCCATCACACTAAAATGGGGTTTTTGTATACATAAGATTAAGAGCTGTTAGATTAAGAGCTGGTCTTAGTGCACAAGAAGAGGCTAATCTTTTGATTAGTTGTCATTTGGACATGCAGAAGTCCTGAATACTTTATTTTCTGTTCTCTGGACTTGTTTGCTTATACTAAGTTAATACTAAAACATATTACCTATCTGGTATGAACTGTATCGGCTTTGACATTTTAGCCATCAGAGTATAAAGAGGGTACTTTTGTTGTTGTTTGTTTAGGTTATATGGTTTATTTATTTATTTTTTTCTTGAGAGATGCATTTTAAGTCATAGGTGTGCTTCTAGGAAAAGCATTTCTCTACAGCCCATTTGTTTCATATGGACTGCCAGAGGACTTTAGGACCTTCTGTGATGAAGCAGTGGACCTTTGAGCCAGGTACTTCTTCCCTATTTCTTTTCATGATGTTTCATGGTTCATTAGAATTCTGTCTCCACACCTAACAAAACAGAAAGTAATCATAAATATGATGTTTATTGTCATAGCAAGAAACAAACAAAAAAAAAGCAATGAAATACTTAGAGCTGTTTAGTTTCTTTTCAGTCATTTTATTTAGAAATGACCTACCCTTGTTTTCTCAGAGTTCTAGGGCAGAGGCATTATCCACCCAGGAGTGCTGGGTAAAGAGACAGGTTGCAGCATTTACTTGAATTAACTTGGTACACGATATATTAACTAGAGACTTTTGAAATTCATGTTTCACTAAAATGTACTGCTTTCTGAACTTAGAAATTTACTTGAGAGCAGGATCAAATTTTAAAGTATAAGACAAAATTTCTGAAGCTCATCATGTTTGGCATTTGGGACATCATTTGTGTGTGTGTGTGTGTGTGTGTGTGTGTGTGTGTGTGTGAGTGATGGGGAACTGTTTGGTGTATTATAGAATGTTTAATAGCATCCCTAGCCTTCACTCACTGGATACCAGTAGCACCTTACTTGTGCAATAATATTATTTTTAAAGTCCCTTGCAGGGCACAACACCCCTAGTATAGAATCACTGGAGTTAAATAATTTAACTCTTTTTTTAAACTGTGGATTGAACCCAGCGGCACTTAACCATTAAGCCACTTCCCCCGTCCCTTTTTCTATTTTTTTTTTTTTTTTTGACACAGGGTCTAGCTAATTTGTTTAGAGCCTTGCCAGATTGCTGAGGCTGGCTTCAAACTTGTGTTCTTCCTGTCTCAGCCTCCCAAATTGCTGGGATTACAGTCATGCACCACCATGCCTGGCAAGAATAGCTTTTAATGGTTAAGACAAATGAAAAACTACAGAATATAAACATATCAGAATGATATCCACCACACACATTCATGCAAACATAAACATGAAAAAAAATAGAGTTCTTAGGTAGCTGTAGCATTTTCAAAATACATAATACCTCTAGGTTGAAACAAGAATGAAAATAGCATCTTTGATAGTTAATCACAATTTTCATTCTTAGAAATATTCTTATTATCATTGACTAAACCTGAAAATTGATTACCTTTAATCAAACCTAATTTCTAATGGCTGATCATTATCAAAACAATATTATAAACTATTAATCTTCTCCAAGATTAGCAAATTGGGAAAAGCATGCCAGTACTCAATTCATACTGATGTCTTTATCCAACAATTGCTTCTGGTAGCCTGATAAAAATAATAAATCATGACTGTATTTACTTTTTCATTATTAAGTACAATTTTATTATGTATCTAAAGGAACAAAATATTACAAGGAAACACAAGTGTCTACAGAGATGACTAAATTATTCATTTGTCACTAGTGGGCATTAATCATTTTGTGTTCATTTCCCATCATTAAATGAAGCCATCATTAGGAAGGCAGTGT